AATTCCACTTTCTGTTTATCATATTAATTATATTCCATTTGATAATTCCACTTTCTGTTTATCATAAATAAACAGAAAGTGGAAAATATAAGTTATATTCCATTTGATAATTCCACTTTCTGTTTATCATATTAATTATATTCCATTTGATAATTCCACTTTCTGTTTATCATATTAATTATATTCCATTTGATAATTCCACTTTCTGTTTATCATATTATATTCCATTTGATAATTCCACTTTCTGTTTATCATATTATATTCCATTTGATAATTTCACTTTCTGTTTATCATATTAATTATATTCCATTTGATAATTCCACTTTCTGTTTATCATATTAATTATATTCCATTTGATAATTCCACTTTCTGTTTATCATATTAATTAGGGTAACATATTTTTTAAATATTTCACAGGAAAATTTAATCTTCTTTCTACTGAATATAATTACCTTTTTCTCTGCTCAAGCTCCCACTCAAGACGTGCTAAGGTCAATCTGTGCTTTTCTTTGCTGCTTTCTTCCTGTACTGACATTAACTGATGAAAAATTCAAACAATTTTATTATGACCTGCATATAAATGATGATTTTTTTTTTGCAAAAATACTTTCAGTACATAAATTGTCTATTGGAAAATCTCCCATATATATATTTACAAGTTTCATTCAATAACGTCCAATTATAATAAGATTAAGACACGTAACTTCATAATCTTATAAACATTCTGTGATTGTAATGCCTGGAGAAAAACAGACAATATAAAAATTACACTAAATATCACTAATAGCCACAAAAATATCTTTTGTTCCCAACATTCTGCTGTATCTGTGTTATCAAGAAATAGTTAGATCATGATATAACTATCATAAACACCAAGAATAAGACTACTTTTTCTGATGTTTAGTCATATTTTTACCACCTTCAAAACAATACGCTAAGATCCTAGGTAAACTGCTCGAGGCCGCATACAATCACTTTAAAGGTATAATTTGACAATAATCAACTATTTCATCAGGTAATCTACGTAATTATGACAGGTGTGCCGTACTCAAGCTTACAGTTATCAAACATTTATGATAATACATATGGTGAATATCATTTAACAATGTGTAATGAGGATACTGTTGTACCCTGTACTTGTTGACGACCTGTAATAGGCCCGGTTACAAAACAGAGTTTAAAGTTTTTACCAATCTTAATGTGATATTTAATCACTTTCGTTTTAAAGTCAGTTATCGAACCTTGGCTGACAAAGGAACTGTTAATGTTAACAATTTTCAGTTAAAACATACAAGTTAAAATCACTTGGAAACATGCAAAAATAACAGTTACGACATGATTTTGAATTCTGACATTTATCAGATTTAACTGACATCATATTCACTCTGTGTCACACTGTTCTTAAATACCAAACTGATTTCAATTCTGTCATAAAAACTTAATATGGAGCTTCAAATCAACAGCAAACTAAAGTAAAGGACGTACCACAGATTGAAAAAAAATGGCTTCATGGTTTCACAGTGTGCAATAAACATTACCTGCTATGTTCATAAAAACAAATACATTACATAATAACAACAAACAAATGAAAGTTGGGTTAAGTAATAAAAATATTTTTGTATAAAGTTTTCTACTTTTTATAGTCACTTCTTTTGTACTACGTATAAAAAATAATAAGTCTATTCTAAATTGAAATATCTTTTCCTTCAGATAACTTACGGGCTTGGTGATTGCCTCCGGAGCTTCTGAAAAGAATTCCTTTTCTGGTACAAGGTCTATTTCTTCATCTTTGGATCTGTATAATAAAATAAACTTAATAAAGTAATACAATATTAAATTTACTAAACAGAGCACCGATAGAACAAAATGGCAAATGAGGGTGCTTAAAGTGTCTGATTGTAGCTTAAACGTTATAAATAAAAATATAAAGGAAAATAAATATCTAAAGAGAGTTTTTTCCGATAATCTTGGACAAACTAGTATTCTGAGATTTAACGGTGAAAAACCATATCTCAAACCACTTTTAACTCCTTGTCTAGTTAAGATACTAGCATGTACTTTTTTTTTTTCTAATATACTAAAAGTTTCTTATTCTTCTGTAAATAGAATTGTTTATAAATAAAACAGAATTTCATATAATATACAGCATCGTCTTTATAGCAGGAACTGACTACAAAATGATGAACTTGAAATATGGTTTGTATTTACTATTAACCATTTTGAGTTCAATTTTTTTCTATTCTACTGCTCCGTTATCACCACTCACCCCCCACAAAACAATCCTTATAATGTCTACATTTGATGTTGGTCAACATGAAAGATGAATTTCGTCTTCCACAGATATTTCTATCACAATTCTTAAAATACCGGTAGAGCAACAAAAAGTTGTAGAAAAACTATTTCAATATCAACAGATGTATATATATCTTACCACATACAGTCTTTATCAGTCAAACAAATTCAACTTAAAGTAAACTCAAATTCTGAAACTAAATGCCTGTTCATAGAATCAAACAAACATTCTGTTTGATGCTTAGATTCTCAAACACATGAAAAGCTACATCACAACTTATAAATAACCCAAATTACAAATACTCAGTAACCTTCTTCTCAAACTACACCAAGGTGTGTGTGACTCGTGTGACTACTAACCTGAACTCCAAACACTTGGTGAACTCTTTTTTTAATCACATCAAGGTGTGTGTGACTCGTGTGACAACTAACCTGAACTCCAAACACTTGGTGACCTCTTTCTTTAATCACATCAAGGTGTGTGTGACTCGTGTGACAACTAACCTGAACTCCAAACATTTGGTGACCTCTTTCTTTAATCACATCAAAGTGTGTGTGACTCGTGTGACAACTAACCTGAACTCCAAACACTTGGTGACCTCTTTCTTTAATCACATCAAGGTGTGTTGACAACTAACCTGAACTCCAAACACTTGGTGAACCCTTTCTTTAATCACATCAAGGTGTGTGTGACTCGTGTGACAACTAACCTGAACTCCAAACACTTGGTGACCTCTTTCTGAAGATGCATCACTTCATACATCAGGTTTTGTAGCTGGAGGTGAAAGTTATCCACTTTTTGTTTCACCTTAAAAAAGTTATTCTATTTCAGATCAAGTTAAAATTTAAAAACATCTAAAATCACACAATACATTAGAGTTTTGTAACAGTAAAAAAAAACTTGTTGTTTTGTGGGTAAATAAACATGTGGGTTTCCTGTACTTTTCTTAATTGTTGGAAATATTTGATCATCTTTCTATTATTAATATAAACTATATATATTACCACAGATCTTAATGTGCACTGTACACTACTTCTGGAAATATTACATCGACCATTATCATTTCATAATTCAACAGAGTTCACAATTATTGTATAATCTCTATGACCATTCACACGAGTTATCCTCAAGTGCTATCACGAAAGTCCGGAAACAGTTCAGTTCATCAAAATAAACTTTTTTTCTTTCTAGAAGTCAAGCATTATGTTTCCATTATAGTAGTGGGTTACATATTCATTCCAAAGTTCTAATTTGTAACTACAACTAATGACTAAACTCACGTGATGAAAAATACTAAATACATGTGCACTTTCAGGTGGACCAATAGTATCAACATGTTATAAAACCTGCACTTTCAGGTGGACCAATAGCATCAACACGTTATAAAACCTGCACTTTCAGGTGGACCAATAGCATCAACACGTTATAAAACCTATACTATCAGGTGGACCAATAGTATCAACATGTAATAAAACCTACACTTTCAGGTGGACCAACAGTATCAACACATTATAAAACCTATACTATCAGGTGGACCAATAGTATCAACATGTTATAAAACCTATACTTCCAGGTGGACCAATAGTATCAACACGTTATAAAACCTGCACTTTCAGGTGAACCAATAGTATCAACATGTTATAAAACCTGCACTTTCAGTGGTGGACCAATAGTATCAACACGTTATAAATCTTATACTTCCAGGTGGACCAATAGTATCAACACATTATAAAACCTATACTTCCAAGTGGACCAATAGTATCAACATGTTATAAAACCTACACTTCCAGGTGGACTAATAGTATAAACACATTATAAATCTTATACTTCCAGGTGGACCAATAGTATCAACACATTATAAAACCTATACTTCCAGGTGGACCAATAGTATCAACATGTTATAAATCTTATACTTCCAGGTGGACCAATAGTATCAACACGTTATAAAACCTATACTTCCAGGTGGACCAATAGTATCAACACATTATAAAACCTATACTTCCAAGTGGACCAATAGTATCAACACATTATAAAACCTATACTTTCAGGGTGTTGATACTATTGGTCCACTTGGAAGTATAGGTTTTATAATGTGTTGATACTATTGGTCCACTTGGAAGTATAGGTTTTATAATGTGTTGATACTATTGGTCCACTTGGAAGTATAGGTTTTATAATGTGTTGATACTATTGGTCCACCTGGAAGTATAGGTTTTATAATGTGTTGATACTATTGGTCCACCTGATAGTATAGGTTTTATAATGTGTTGATACTATTGGTCCACCTGAAAGTATAGGTTTTATAATGTGTTGATACTATTGGTCCACCTGATAGTATAGGTTTTATAACATGTTGATACTATTGGTCCAAGATATCTTGTTGTTAAACTATTGTTTACCAGTTACTGGATGAAACAAATTTTGTATTTTATGTATCCAGATTGTTGGTTCATTACCCGTGTATTTGAAAAACATTAATCTTGGGAATTACCTCTTAACTTACACAGAACAAATAATTATAGTAACAACAAATAGAAAATAACTTATGTCTGTACGTTTTAAAAATATTTATTATATACAGCCAAATGAAGTAATATATATATATATATATATATATACTGTTGGTCCACCTGAAAGTATAGGTTTGTCACGTAACTGGTAAACAATAGTTTAACACCAAGATATCTTGGATAACACTTCATTCACTACAACAGACTTTACCACGTAAAAACGATTACAAAATAGTTAATATAACCTTGACAGAGTTACTGAATACACAGGTATAATTATGACAGAATTTTACACATTCCAAGCATTAAATTGTAATGCGTTTTTAATTATCCCCATTTGAGGTTTAAGAGTTATATGAAAACTTACAAACAAGCTATCAACAGAAATAACAATAAAAGGAATTCGGAATAATTCTTCAGGTACATAGAAATATGTGTGTAAATTAAAATATTCACACACATACATTTCTACCTGCCTGTAAAATACACGTACATATATCATGCACCCTCTGGGCCACCATTTCACGGGCACCGTTAGTCTATTTTCAATGTTGTATCATGGGTATTTTGGTCATCTGGGTAATGTGTCTGTCTGTACTTTCACTTATCGTAATCAGCTCAGTGTAGAAAATTTGTAATTTCATATAATAATTTACAAGATGATTTACAGATAATACAAAACATGTTAATTTTTAATTGGAAGGAACTAACTGACTTTCCCGTTATGATGAAAAGTAATTATTCACGTTACAGACTCTTTAAAAAATAACTGAGAAAAGAAGCATAGATCATTGTTTTTTTGGTTGAAACGGTGAACATTTCTAAAGAACCATAACATAAATGTCTACATTTGCTACAAGGTCTAACCGGGAACTCATTTCATCAAACTAGTACACAAAAAGGCCTAAGAGCATTGAAACCCAGTTTTCTAAACATTGTACTATTTTTAAGGTATTACTAAAGAAGATTTTTCAAAAATTAATCTACCTCATTCACTGCATCACGAGCATTTTTACATCGGTGTTTGTCAAGGCGATTCAACTTTTTCAAGTCAGTAAAAAGAATGGATGCAAGAATTCTGTGTTTAGCCAGTTCTTCCTGTAAATAAACCAAATGCAAAAAAGTAGCATAAAAATTACGTCAATAATTTTTGTCATCTAATAAGCAATCACTATTTACTTATATTCATCATCTGCTAAGCAACAAGTTGATTTTGTGTTCTATACATGCAAGTAACCAGTCAGTTCTCTGTTCCTTATCTACAAATCAACTATTTACTTATACGTTCATCATCTGCTAAGCAACAAGTTGATTTTTGTGATCTATACGTGCAAATAACCAGTCAGTTCTCTGTTCCTTATCTACAAATCAACTATTTACTTATACGTTCATCATCTGCTAAGCAACAAGTTGATTTTGTGATCTATACGTGCAAATAACCAGTCAGTTCTCTGTTCCTTATCTACAAATCAACTATTTACTTATACGTTCATTATCTGCTAAGCAACAAGTCACTTCTCTGTCACTATCGGCTACGTAACCAGTCATCAATATTGATTGTTGGATCAAAAAATAAAAACTATGCATCTCTCTCGCTTGGGAATTTCTTCACTTCACATTCTTAAGTACAACAAGTCACTTCTCTGTCACTATCGGCTACGTAACCAGTCATCAATATTGATTGTTGGATCAAAAAATAAAAACTATGCATCTCTCTCGCTTGGGAATTTCTTCACTTCACATTCTTAAGTACAGGTTTACATGATACAAGTATATTAAGTTTAAATACGCAGATATATAAAGAAATATTGTCATATTTTTAAAACATAAATTATAAAAACTCTTACCTCTGACTCCTTCGTTTTCTTTAGTTTTACGATTTCTTTGGCATGTTCTCTAATTTCACCACACTTATTCTTAAACATGTTTAGCTCCTGAAGAGCATCACCTTTTTCAGCCTCTTCTTCCTCCAACAAAAAACTATCAACAACTGGAACCTGGAGAAAAACTTTGGTGCATGTGACACTATGCTCTCATAAACAGGTCATGGATTGAATCTATCAATACAATCACAATGAAGACTAATTTCATCTCTACTCACAGTTGTTAAAAAAAAGCATTAATTATCATCATGGTCACTGTGAGAAGTGACCAATCATCAAATATATGGCCTGTTGCTTGATATAATAAGTAAATTATTTTGAGTGCATATCTACCTTTATAAATATACTTTTTTAAACACTGCTTCAAACAAATGAAATGATACTGTTACAATCATCACTGTAAACTTGGGGTTAAATATAAACACATTATTTTTAAAATACAGCTATGTTTTTATAGTTGATTTTTATATTTACTAGCTATGACAGAAAAGATAACGAAAATCATAACATAGCATATTCCATGGACAACAATGGACCATTTGATCCTTCAATGTCCTTGCACACCCACCACTGAGCAAAGTAAAAATTTAAACCCGACCCAATACAGGAATTAAAAGACTTCACTGTTAAGCTCCTCTAAAAGTGCTGGCCCTTCATATAACTTAAATGGAGCATAGTCTGCAAACCATTAAAATGATGACAGTTCAAAACCAGTGTATTTCATTTCCAGGGTCTTAGAGCGGTCATTTGACCCATCTAGACTCTTTCATTTTTTATTTTTTTACTATCATTCTAATCAAACCTACATAAAGAACTCCCTTATCTCATACCTAATCCTGATCTCTAAAATACTCATTTGATCTCTTCTTAAACTTTTTCAATACTACAGATACCATGTATGAAGGCAAACTATCCCATATGCTCACTATTAAAAGAACAATACAGCGTTAATTGCAGTTGTCTTTATATTTGCAAATATTGAACTTTTATCGTCTAGTCTTATATTCTGCAAACATTTTAAAAATTTCACATGAATTTATGGATTCCACACCTTTATGCACCTCAAATATATCACATGAGCCCTTCTCATAAAACATACTAAAATATTTCAACAATCTGAATATCCTTCTTTAGATAAGGTTACAGAAACTGACAACCTCCTTCAAATGTTTTTATGTATATAACCTAAAACCATGTTTGCATTATTAGTTGCTATTTACATTTTGAAGTTTAAATTTGCAGGCCTGTGTAATTTGTAGAAATATTAGGTATAACATTGAAATATTTCTTACAGAAATAAATAGTCTTTTGAACATTTTTCTCAAGATTGAAGCCATTTGATGCAGTATTGTTTTCTGAATTTCACATACCTAAGACAGCATGTTTGGTGTAGTGCTATGCAAGTTTTTCTATTTGCTGCACGATGTTGTTTTGTCTAGCAATGTTAGTTTTTTGTGATTCAGGTCAATCAGTGACATTTAGGCATAATAAAAGCAAGGGTATGCAAACTGGTTATGTCAGCATTAATTATTCTTGCTTTAATTTCTCTCTATTGGTATTATTTCCTACATATTGTGTCACATTATCCAAATCCTTCTAGACAGGCAATACATAAAAGAAAGACCACAAACATGTAGTTCTGAGACTAAAAGACATAGATTTCACAAAAAAATTGGGATGAATGAGGACGCATATTCATTTGACATTAATGTTCTTCCCTTTTCTTCAGTTTGTTTGTATTTTGTTAACGAACATAATAATAAAAAATTTTTGTTGTGGTAAACAAAATACTGATTTGATCTAAGTAAAAATCCTTACGTGATGGGAAAAAATTAATATTATTTTCGAAATCTGAATAGCTGAATTATAGAGAATCCATTATTAAAACCAAAACAACTTAGAAAAATGGATATCATTTTCGAATTCAGCATACAGGAGTTACTGGAGAACATGTAAGCATTTCAAGACAATAAAACCATTTCAGGCCTGTGTTATTAACCTTCAGTATAGTAGGAGTCATCTACAGTTATGGCAGTTTTATTTTTCTAACAGGGTTTGTCTACGTAATTGGTTGCTTTCAGTTTCAAAGTTTCACTTTCAATTTTGGATGTGGTGGTGAAACTGAGTGAAAGCAGTAAATTTAAAGGAAGGCTTCATAAATGTTTGAATGATAAGGGCTGGTTTTGAGTATTTTATTGTCATTTAATAATCTACCACTACGATAACATTAACATGTTACTTTTTGTACCGATAGAAATAGAACCATAAAATGATAAATATTAAGTCAAATTTGATGACGAGCAGCCCACTTTGAGACTAATAATGCTTGGAGACTGCTTGAATGGGTAATGAAGAAAAACTTTAATATACATTTAACATAACAGCAAATGTACAACGTTTCGACAAAGTTTTGTCATCATCAGGTACAAG